GTGTGTGAGAGAGAAGGGGTCGTCGGAGAGAAGAGAGCGAGAATGCGCGGCTGACGTTATTGCATGTGCCACTGGTAACAAAACGGATCGGCTCGAAATCGGAAAGAAGTGAGACTTAGGGATGGCCGTATGCTGAAGTATCGATATATCCATACTGACACGAGTATCGAAAGTATTGATACTCAAACAAAAATATCGATGCTAAGGTGTGTTTTATTTACCAGTGATTTTGTTTTATTTAACAATAAATAAATGCGTACAATATGCATTGAATTGGACGAATAACCCATGTTAGGTAGGATATTTTCCTGCTCATCTGAACACACGCAGAAGTTGCAAGACCGAATCAATCAATCACGGAGAGCGTTTACTCACTTCTGATAGTGCATTCAAACAGGGCTGCATTTCCCAAAATATCATAAGAAAGCATTGATGCTTTTGGGAATGGCAGCCCAGAACAATGCTTATTAGAGGACAGAAAAACATATGTTTGAGTTATTTCACAATAAACAAATTGAAATTGTAGCCTACGTAGTTTGTGCAATTACATTTATTTAAATTGAATGTTGAAAGATAATATTGATCATGTTCTATTCTGTAATGTTAATATAAATCATACACTGTAAAAATAAAAAGATTGCATTTTATGCATGCAACAGCCCGTCACTGTAGTCCCTTATGAAAATGAACCATGGTTTTACTAAAGTGACCACAGTTCAACTATAGTATTTGTAGATTTCCATGGTTACCACTACAGTAAACATATTTGAACCATGTGTAAACAAAAATATAACTTAAGTTACAATGTTAAAATGTGTTTCAAATATAAAGTTAAGTGGTTATCATTACCCATTTTACTCTTATTAATTTAATAATTTAATAAATTTCATAATTTAAAAGTTCAGTTTAGAAGTATCGTATCGGTATCGGTATCGATATCGACGATACTGGCCTTAAAAAAATATCGGTATCGTATCGAAAACAAAATAAGTGGTATCGGCCATCCCTAGTGAGACTGACCGGTGTTACAAGATTTTCGGTTTCCGAGATTTTCTGTTTCAGTGGGCGGAGCATACATGAATATTCATGAGTTTCCTGGACGTGCGCGTGGAACCAGGTGGAACTGATCATTTCAGTTCATGCTCCTTGTGTCTCAGCAGGTTTAATGGGATATATATATATTTTTTAAAAGGTAAATATATTTACAGTGTTGCACAAACTACATTTGTTTATCATTTCGTAACCGTTTATAATGTTTTACAGTGCACGTTTTGTGCAGTCTTCCCTGACTGAATGATTGCAGGCATTCTTTGTGTAATGTTAGGATAAAGCACAGCACACTTCAGCTGCAGCCTATACATTGATTTCAGTTCTTTATGCTCTTTATTTGTAGCTTGCGATGCTTTAAAACTTTGTCTGTTATTAGTTGTTATCATTTGTTGAATACATCACTGCAACAAATGAAATAAACCTATATAAACGTATCTGTGGACTTTTTTTTTTTTTTGTATGCTGGTGTGATGATCCATGTCTTAACTTACCCCGTTCAACATTCTCCATGTTGTCTGGTTGTGAATTGTCTGCTGTCTGGTTGTAAACTATGATACAATCATACAGTTCTGCAAAAACATGTTGCTGAAATTTCTTTCTTTTTTTTATGTTTCCTATGTAAAATAGTTAAACATTTACAAACAAATGTAAATTTACCAATTAAGGTTATCACAAGGTTTATGGTTCCATTTGCATAGTGAAGCCAAAAATCCCAGAACACCTGGATGATTACAGCTACACAGGTTTCCAATAGTAGCGCAGATCCAACTACCATTTCAATTATTTATTTTTATGATCTTCTGTTACCTTTTAAGTTTTAAAACTGTCCTCTTCTGGCAATGAATGAAATAACGTTCACCACCATATCAGTGGCCTAATAAACATTTTGCAACCTACACTGATGTTATTCTCTGTCATCTGTTCTTTGACCATGTGTTGCACTGTACCTGGATGATACACGATGATCATTGATACAAATGCATGGTCTATTTTGATGCATAACAAACACTCATGCAACATTATTTATAGGCTAAGTCATAAAGTTTCATAAACATATATACTCTAAATTAAGCATTTTTTTTTCTCTACATAAACTGTTCCCTCCTGTTGGAATGACCTGTCCAACTCAATTCGAGTCCTAGCCATCTTCAAGAAACAGCTAAAAACACATCTCTTCCATCTATATTTGACCCTCTAACACTTGCACTCTCTATTTGTTTTCCAACTGCTTGTTTTCTTTAAAAAAAAAAGGCCTCTAACCCTAGCTTTCTCTATTCTTTTTCTATTCTATCTACTCATTTTATTTTTGTTGTGTATGTATGTGTAAAGCCAAGCGTCTGCTAAATGACGACATAAATAAATAAATGTAAAAAGGGCCTCTAAATATATAAAAATAAAGTGGAATAAAGATTGGATTGTGGCCTTGATTAGCTTTTGATGAGATGTTTGTAAAATGTGTGTTGGTGTGAAGAGAGTGTGATGTTAACGTCCTTGTAGAATCTGCTGTATAAAAATTTGACATAAAGCTAAAAAAACAAACAATTCTTCACTTGATTCTGGCATTTGATACATGACATTACTATTCAAAAGTTTAGGATTACTATGAGTTTTTTTTTTTTAAGAAATGTATATTTTTGCTCTTCAAGGATGCATTAATTTAATAAAATGACAGTAAAGACATTTATAATGTAAAAAAAAAAAGATTTATATTTCAAATAAATGCTGTTCTTCTGAACTTTCCATTCATCAAGGAATCCTGTCACTGTATAATGGTTTCCCCACTTCATTAAGCAGTACAACAATTTTCAACTGTGATAATAATCAGAAATGTTTCTTGTGCAGCAAATCAGCATATTAGAATGATTTCTGAAGATCATGAGACACTGAAGAGGAGAAGTTGAGATCTGACATCACAGGGGGAAAAAAACTTTATTTTAAATTGTAAAATTATTCCACAATATTAATGTTTTTTAATATTTTTAATCTGATGCAGTTGGTGATATGAACAAAGAACCTTACTAATACAAATCCAAAACAGTATTGTATATATCATATCAAAACAAGCACACTTATGAACATTTGTTAATGAAATTATTTTTTAACATGAAATTAGTTTCTTATTCCATTACATAAAATGCAGTGAAGTATTTGTTTCCTCATCAGTGTACCAAATATA